TAGTTTAACGGCTTAGCATTTCTTGTTTTTTGTTGTTCACTGTATATTATATGAATTATGCTAAATCAGTGCCAAACCGTACACACTGATGTGGCTTTCTTTTGTGTGGATATTATGAAAAGCAATTATAGAATTTGTTTTTTTTGTATGGACAACTAAGTCGTCTGAGCTATATGGGATGATATTAATAATAAGTCATTATATTCACGCCTCAGACAAGAAGTCATTAAAGGTATACAGGTTAATCAGTTTCCTGGCAAAAACTGTGCCATAAGGACAAAACTTCATTCCAAGAAATGTTACTGAAATTTCCAATCGGAGAAAGGATACAAGTAGCTACATTTACAAGGCACTGAATATCCAACTAAGTTCTGTAAAGTCAATCAGTGAAAAAAGGGGTCTAACAATATGGCAGAGGTGTACATCTGAGCAGGCTGTACTGAACTGAGGGTCTTTGTGAAAAGGAAACAAATGAGGGAAACCACCAAGAAGCTGAAAGAGATGCTGCATGGTTCAGATGGGAGGGACTGTGCAGTGTGACAACAACAGCTTCAGGTGCTTTATAAGCAGCAGCCTAAAGGAGAGAGACACCTTTGAAGAAAACCTCACATGACATCCGGGCTAGCGTTGCATGCCAGAAGGCATTTCTGCTGCTCGTCAGCAAAATCAATTAATGTAGCAAATTCAGAGAAATCTTGTCAGAAATTTGAAATACAGTTTGCATGACAACTGTTACTTGGGATATTTATTTTCCAGTATGATAATGATCCCAAACATAGTTAGAAATGGCTTCAAAACAGCAATGTCAATAGTTCAGGACCTGATCTAATATAATTTGTGGCCGGACTTTAACATTGCTCCCCATGTATGCATCTATCTCTGTGTATCTTTCTGCCAGTCTGTCTTTTATTGTGTGTTGCAGCAACCGGTCCTTAAAAAAGGTGAGAAAGAAAGGGGTGTAAAGAAAAACAAAGTGATGCTCAATGCCCGACAACTCAGTGGATATCCTCCTATACCTCCACACACGTGTGCACGCGTACACAACATTTACAACCCCACTGTCCCCTCACATTGCTCCAGTATCTTAAACAAATACAGGCCAGCAAATCGAGTAATCAACCCTTTAACACTGACGTCATCTAACAAAAACACACATAAACAGTTATGTCTGTCCGTTCCACTGTGGGCTGCCCCTGGCCTCGTCTACTGTCTAGTGACTCACTGATGTCAGAGAGTCAGGGACTAACTTTTACCTTAGTACCTCTACACCTCCCCATTTTCTCTACCCTCTTCGTCATCACTGTGTCCCTTCAACACAAATGACTCCTCAGCCTTCCAACCTGGAAGTCCAGGAAGGTTTTTAACGACACTGCTCAGCCTCACCGTAATTCCTTTCGCACTCACATTCAATTTTTTTCTCTACAGCGTGGCAACCAAGAAAAATCACAGAAAAAAAGGCATTCCTGAGTAATGCTCACCTGTTTCTGACAATTCCCACAGGTGACAGAGACTAAGTACAGCCTAACAGTAAAGTGACGGTGAGAAGTAACAGTAGAGTGTATCAGTGGAGGTGTTTTAAATGAGTTATTCTATTAATTAATTCACAAATTAACATATTAGCGATGCACACCCCAATAGTCTGTCCTCACCTAAAGTCATAGTGAAACACTAATGGTGTGTTGTCAGCACAGAGTTACAACACTGCCTTGTAGTGTCCAATCATGGTACTGCATCATCAGGGAAATCCCCCTACATGCAGCCAGTCAGAATGAGGCTCATGCGGGCAAAGAGCAGGACTGAAGAGAGCAAGTAAGAAGAGCATATGAGAGGAAAGACAACAAGAGAGAGAGAGAGAGCTTGAAAGATAGAGCTTCTTTCTGTTTTTTCTTGCTTTCTTGGTGCAGTGGTTCCCAAGGGCCAAGACTAATCTGAGCGTTCACAAGATGAAGTTTATTCTAATGAAAACAAACAACACATTTTCGTTACACAAAATGTATAAAAACAATGTGTATTTCTTTAGATTTTTCTCTTTTTTGTCAAATACTGGCTTTTTAAAAATTAACTCATGTCCATGATCATAAGCAGTGATGTGGGATCACAAGTCCCGACACTCCCTCATTTTAATGGGTCACACATCAGAATATTTGGGAACCACTATGCCTGCTCATATATATTATCCTCGTCAATATACCCGTTGTATCTGTTTTCTTATGAGCTTATCATTCAGTATCTGTATCATTTGAGTCCCTGCCTATAGTTACGATAGAGGCAGGTCGAGACAAACGTAAAGTATACACTCACATACACACAATGCAGCACAAACACATTAATGCTCTACATATGAAAAAGCTCAAGCAGATAATTTGAATGTGAAGTGTTTGATGTCATTTATGCAACTGTGTTCAGACTCCAGATTGATGGAACCTGAGGATCTGTGAGTGCACATTCTCAGCGACTGAAATGGTGCCGTATGCAAATCTCATGTTAGTTGAGATATCTGCCGTATTGCTCTTCATACTATGCATGGAAATTGGTCTGCTCTGACAGACCCTCCGGGCTGAGGAGAGTGGAAGGGGAGACAGGATTGAAGGGGAGGGATGTGTGTGTGTGTGTGTGTGTTGTGGTGGGGTTAGCGAAGGGGAGTACAGTGGGAGAGTGATCTGAATAAAATCCTCTTGTTGAGTAGTGTAGGGCCTCCAGGAGGTTTGTTGGAGGGAGGTGATGACAGGGGCAGGAGGAGGGCATGGGCACTACGCTGTGGGTGTATAATAGGGTGAAGCCCCTCCCACTGTCTTGGAGGATGTCCTGGCCAAACTCAATAGACAGTTGGTTGACAGTGGAGGGTCCTCAGTTGATTACGCTTTACCTGGGCTATATGAACTGGCCCCTGTGCTTCCTCCTGCCTCTCCTCTCCTAAAGCTGGCATCCACTCTGCGGTACACATCCATGCATTACTGACACCACACCCCATTGTTCAATTTGTGTTAACTTTAGTGACTTTGTCACGTTCCTTGAGCCCGTTTGTGACAACAGCACCTATAGAGACGTGATCAACTTTCAAAAATACAAAGCCTGCATGCTTGAGCGCACACAAAACTCCCACACAGACACAATGAACCTACATATGTGTATTGTCACAGTCCGGCTCAGAGATTGAGACAAAACTGGGAGACAACGAGTTGGCTGCTAAAAGGAAGCAATTTAATTTTACATAAGTTACCCAATTTAAAGAGCACTCAAACATAAACCTAGGCAACTGTGTTAAGCCAGTGACACCAAGGATCTCCCTCCCAAAGAGCCGGGGTGCCAAATGAAGATGAGAGAAACACCAGTACAGGTGTGGCTGATCCAGCTGATGACGCTCCAATCAGCACCTGCAACAGATTAACCAAAACAGGGACACCTAGTGTATGATAAGGAGGGTCGTCACAGTTTATAAAAGTGCTCAAAGGTTTAGCCCATGTGTTCCTTGTTTGTTCTTGATATTTCAGGGTTGTGACAGATACAGCAGGTCATAAATACAGCTGATTCCTCCACAGGTTATATACTACCACTGGACTGTCTGTAGTCAAAAAGCATGAGGTGCATGTGCAGTATAAGCTTACAGTATGTCATCCTGTATGTGTCTGGGCCATCTGGGAGGCATTATTTTACACCACAGGACTCCAAACTCTCTCTCACAGGAGTGAGAGAGAGTATACCTATAAGATCAACTACTTTTTTCAGTTTTGACCAAAGTAAAACACACTATATGAACAGATGTGATATCATATAAATATATTACGTAATCGTGCTCAAACTGGAAAATAATTTACGAAAAATAATCACTTGGACAAAGCTTAGTTTTAACAAACTGCTTGTAGGCCAACAGCTGTGATGGTTTCCAGTGATATCATGTATTAATCAGAAGTGTCAATGATAAAACCTGCAGGTCTAGTGTTTAAAGGGCTGAAACTCTTCGATCAGATCCAACTGATTTTATGACTCTGATTTCTTCACAGAGACAGGTGCAGTAGAGCCACACAACACTGTGTCTATCCAGTGGCCTTCTGACCTCTACTTCATTATGGTCCTTCCATGAAGGTCCTTCCTCTGATACTGTTAAATGTGAAGTTTATAAGAAGTTCAACTGCACCTAACACAGATGTTTTCTCTCATTTTGCCTGATTAGCCCTCTCCCCCAGGACTGTGTGGACTTATATAAACAGGAGAGATGTGAGAGCAGGAACACTGACGAGTCCTCTTTGTGTCAGTTAACGTTTTTAATGTCTATTGTTTCTTTAGAGGTTTAAAAGCATCTGATACCTTTTGATGCCAGAAATAACAGCCATGCAGAGCTGCCAACCACAGCTCTACATCCTGCCAGGCAGGAAGTGAGGGTGTACATGGCCATTTCAGGGAGGTGACACAGGAAGTAAACCAAGCCAAAGTGTCAGCAGTTCAGTTCCTTGACAGGGAGTCAATTCTGTGGATGAAAAACACATTTGCAAACAGTAAACAATGTTGAAATAAAAAATAACCTAGCTTTTCAAGGTTGTGGGATATATCAAGGATGACTTATCTAAAATGTGACATTACATTACAGTCATTTAG